TAAAATAAAATCCTCTTAAAGTGTTCTTCTTCTTTCAACCACAGTCTAGCTGGACACTTCATTACTGGTGATGTTAATAAAGTTAAAAAAATAGACCTATAGACCTTGTAAAATTCCTCAATACAGGGAGTCCCGATCCTTTAATTGGGAACAGGGCTTTATTTCTATCATGAATTCTGTCGAAGATTATGCCAAACGTTGGGCTAAATTTGAAATGGAATACCTGAATACTTTGTCAGAATGCATTAACTGTTTTGGAAATATATTAAATATTCGTATTAGAAAATAAATAGGAAAAATGCGATCCATCTACCCTTCATTTTTACTAAACTGGAAGTGATAAAAGAGTTAGGGAGCGACTACAGAAAAAATATGCTATGGTTCCAGCAGACAAGGCTGGTAACAATATCGTCTTTTTTTGGAAGGCTTATGGTTATAATTGTATTTAAGAAGACCCTGGTTTTTAGTTTTACGCTTGGAAATCCTAAATATACTCACAGTTCACTTTCCAAAGAACAAATTCTTCAAAATAATATTTCAGTGTTTAATACTATTAATATACTCATCAAGGTGAGATCGTTCTACCATACCTGAACTGGATTCCTAAACTTCATAAAAACCTTACAAACAAAGATACGTTGCTGGGCCCAGCAAATGCTCTAGCTACCAATCCATACTCCTTGCAAAAATATCAATTGCTGTTAAGGAGAAACTTCAGACGTACTGTGCTACAGCTTATTCTAGAAGTGGTTTAAATCAGATTTGGATCCTCAAAAACTCGGGAAAAAACTTTAAGAAACTAAAATCACCAAATTTTTCAAAGACTTTAAAATCAAAACTTATCACTTTTCAACACTTTATACAACCATTCCTCACAATGAATTAAAATCTAGACTTTTTATGTCATAGACAACTGCATCTAAAATGAAAACGGAACTCGGAAATTTTTCCTTCTTGTGATTGGTAATCAGAAAAAAAATTACTTCATAATAAACCACTTTGAAAGTACACACTAATATATACTCTGAAATTGAAATTAAAAGGATGCTGGAGTTATTTATTGACAACATGTATGTAGTCTTCGGAGACCAAGTTTTCAAACAAACTGTTGGAATTTCGATGGGCGCAAATTGTTCTTCTTTATTAGCTGGCATGTTCTTATATTCTTATGAAGCAGAATTTATTCAAAAGCTTCTATAAGAGAAGAGGACAACACTAGCTGTGGCCTTCAATTCGACATTTCGATATATCGACGATGTTTATCAATAAACAATATATCGACTTGATATATCCCAGTGAACTTGCAATAAAGGACACCACAGAACCCCCACATCTGTTCCATATCTGGATGTTTTACTGACTACATTTCGGGATTAATTAATTTTGAACATAATCTGAGGGTCCATTCGCGTGATTTACAGATGTACACTCAAACGTTTATATAATAAAACACTTAAAACTGAGTGTTATTGTTTTCTGTTACATAGAGAATCTAACAATAATTGAATTGGCACGTTAGTGAAAATAACCATGACGGAAAAATAATATTTCGGAAAAATTTAACAAAGAATTTTGCAAAAGCTCCTATACTTAAGAAAAATGCATTCAGAGTATAGTATGAGAATCGGCCTTGCTCTATAATTATGAGATAAAATAAGATCTAATTCTGGTAGAAAATAAACAATTTAAATTTAATAATCTATAAAAAATAGATAAATAAATAAATATGGATACCAATATCAATCACAGAAAAAAAATTGATTTATTTTGGTGAAAAATTAAAATACCACATAATTGTGTTTTAATAATAGGTGTGAACGTCGTCTTCGTTCAATAATTATTATCTGTTTCTATACGAGTACTATGATTTTCTTAACAGTTTAGAAATGACTGCCGCGTAAGAATTGTAAATATTTGTTGATACTACTCAGAAAGAAATGCATCATCAATTGCAACTGCCCTTTATAGTTACATTGTTTATTGGTAATCTCATTTCTGAGTAAGCTCCGCCCATTAAAATAATTAACCCCACCCACTGGGACTGCTGGGACTGTTTTCTGGAACTGCTCGGACTGCTTTCTGGGACCGCTGGGACTGCTGGGACCGCTGTGGGACTGCTTTGGGACCGCTGTGCGACTGCTTAAGCAGTCCCAGAAAGCAGTCCCCGGGACTGCTCTGGGACTGATTTGTGTCAGGTTGGGTCTGGTTGGCACTGTATAAATGACAAAGGCCAATTAACAACTAAATTGTATGACAGAAGAGATGGGTTTAGATTTTCCATCGTCAACTTTCCTTTTTTTTTTGTAGTAATATTTCACTATCACGTACCTGCTGATGGTGTTTACGAGGGCTGTTCGGAAATTATTGAGACATTTACTTTTACTCCATAAAGGCCAGAGATACATTCATGAGACTTCGTCAACATTTTATAAATAACGAATAAAAGAAATGTGCAAAATTTCTAATTTATAGGATAATTAGACAACTTCCGGTGAAATTATAAACATGCATATGTCTATCGACCTGGAGCAGCATCGCTACACCATTTTAACGTCATGTTAGCCAGAGATGTTTTTGCAAGTGAAACGATCGGGAAGCGTTTACTCTTCTTTCTCTATTATCACATATAACATTCCAAAAATCAAACTGTCTCTTTCTTAAACAATTCTTTAAAAAATAAAATAAAAAAATGTGTGCTGTTGCTACCTCAGTGTAAAAAATACATAAAGTGTCATATACAGGTTGAATTGGCATCACGCAGTACCGATTTTTGCATAGCGGGTCAACGTTATTTACTCCGTAATAATTGATGGTCGTCTGGAGCTCTTGTTTTTACACTTGTTGAATATTTTGCAAGAATTAAATATATACCAATGAAAAAAATAAAACCCTTAGACACATTTTTTGCATTGTTATTGTTTTAGCAGGTCGTTTAGTCTGGAAAAGAGTTCTTCATAGCGCTACACAAAATTAAAGGTATGCTCGCTGCGCCGCCTTGACGTCAAATTCCATTTTTTCGTCGTTCTCAGATTTCTATGCCACGCTTAAATTTATTTATGGTCTCCGTATTTCTGATCGAAATTCTAACAAATTTGCAAAAAATGAGGTCAAAATTAAATTGAAAAATTATATACATAAATTAAATTATTTTCGCTCTTACTATGAGTTTGAACGTTGGTGAAACATATTTTCAACATCTGATTTCGTGACTGTGCCGTGTACCCCTACCATTGACACATAAATATGTCACTGAGAAGAAGAAATAAAATATTTGTAAAATATTTTTTGCTTTTATTAATTTTTATTATTTGTCAAACGTATATGGAAATTTTCACCGAAAGACGTTCATTAGAAAAAAGAATATACACACTGTCTCAATAATTTCCGAACAGCCCTCGTATGTCTTCCAACTTATTCGTTACTCAAGATTTCAACAGCCTCGTTTTAAGTCAGCATTTCGTAAATGATATGGTCTTTATAATGACCTTGTTAGCAAATATAACCTATCATTGGGTCGTATTTTGGCTGAATTGTTTCATACCAATTGTTAGTCCTTTGTTTTTGTAATGAATTGACTATGGATAGTTCCGTCTAACTGATCAATACGTAAGGCTCACGGCATGCATGACCGGTCACCAGGGGATGTTTACTCCTCCGAGGCACCTTATCCTCACTCTGGAATTTCCAGGGTTTTTATTCCCTCTTTACATATTTGTATTGTGTTTATCCTCCCAGTTCTTTTATTAACAATATGAATTATATAGATATGAAGAATATAAGTAAAATACTGAATACTTCTTAACATAATTGTGCCACGCACTGTAGAATTTTAACTCATTTTTTTTTTTTAAATAAATAGTCTTACATTCATTCTTACACAAAATTGTTTTATGAATTTTATGAGCCTGGTCATGATCTAAAGCATTTTCTTAATGAACATACATCAATAGTATTTAGAAATCAATGTCCTTTATAAAAAAAAAAATATTTTTTTCAAAATCCCAAAATCTATAACCCCCCTGAGTATTCGCCCACATGACCTAATGAGAGTCTAAAGGCAGACTAGAACCCACCCCCACCCCCTTGCATAATTTGCGTAAACATCCCACTTCCCATTTTGACTGGCTTTATCATGTAGGGAAGTAAAATAATCAAGTACTGTTTTAGTTTTACGACATATATGGAATAAATTTAATTGTATATTTTTTAATCGACGAACAACTTTTTGGTTGCAAAATATTGTGTTTCATTTTACTTGTGATTTTACGAGGTTCTTATCTCTATGATATCTTAAAGTACAAACGTAGAGTAGTAGATAAAATATAATTTCAATAATTATCATATTTTAAACATAACGACAATTATATTCGTGAAGTTATTTGGCTTACATCAATGCAAGATCTAGAGACTTACATATCTAAGTAAATATTTAAAAAAGAAAAGGAAGAAATTACTAGTATGTTATGAGCACTGGTCTCCTTCGAAAGTTAATCAAAAGAAAACTGTATTGTCTGTATTAAAAAGAACGATATTAATATTTATAATAGCAGAAAAATGAATTAATTGACATATTATGATCTGTGGATTCCTAAAAAAATGTAAAATGAACCTTTTTTTGGTTTTAAACATGGAAAGATTGTTGATACGAAGCCAAAATTGTCATCAGGGTGAAGTAGCATGGAATGAGAGAAATACTTTATTTCAAGCTCAAAAGATTATTTTACTTTGGTATTCTTAAGAGAAAATTCAACACTTATTAAAGAATATAATTGTCAAAAAAAACAATAGAATTAAATGAATAATTTTACGAGGTTTGATGTACTTTTATTTAGACAGCTGCAGCTCTAATTGTGTACACATGAAATGCGATGAAAACTGTGTGCAAGGATGTATTCAGGGATACTGGGGAGATACATGTCAGAAAGACTGTCCATCTGAGTGCTCAATGAACAAATGTAATAGAAATAACGGGCACTGCAATTCTTGTATCAACGGGTACTATGGGGATCGTTGTGAAAAGAGCTGTCATTGGTATGATAAATGTTCTGGGAAAAAATGTGACAAAGACAATGGATTCTGTACATCTGGATGTGAGCCAGGGTATTATGGACAGTACTACTGTCAAGATAGCTGTGGTGAATGCAGCACTGGCACTTGTGAAAGAATTACTGGGAATTGCGAGGCTTGTAATACAGGCTTTTATGGAACAAAGTGCGATCTAACATGTAGTAAAAGTTGCCTTAATTGGGAATGTATGAAATTAAGTGGAAATTGTAATAATGGTTGCATCAGCGGTTTCTACGGCCCATTCTGTACTATGCCATGCAGTAGAAACTGTGCACAAAACAACTGCAGTCAGAATGGGATTTGCACTGGTGGATGTAAACCGAACTGGATTGGGGATCAATGCGATAGTAAGTCTATTCAATTTTCATATGTTCTTTTTTTACATATTCTATACTTTTCTCCTTGCTATCAAACTCACGAATTGGCATATAAAGAAGAGAAGACAGAAGGCATTCATATAAATTGGTATATTTTAATACGGCATATAAACGCGAAATTAAAAAGGGAATTGAAATACCTTTCATTAAGGAATAATATTGTCGTCTGAATATTTTTTTTCAATTTTAATAGGCTATTTGGAGTTGATATTCTTTGGGCAAACTTTAACCATATCCAAATATAATAATTGTCAGCCTTGCAATGGATTTAAACAAATAATATTTTAGATATATAATGTTTTTTTTTTTTTATTTAGTCAGATGTAGCTCTAATTGTATAGACATGAAATGCGATGGAAATGGAAATTGCGTCCAAGGATGTATTCAGGGATACTGGGGAGATGCATGTCAGAACAACTGTCCATCAAAGTGCTCGATGAACAAGTGTAATAGAAATAACGGACACTGCAATTCTTGTACCGGGGGGTACTATGGGGATCGATGTGAAAAAGGGTGTCATTGGTATGATAAATGTTCTGGTAAAAGATGTGACAAAGGCAGTGGATTTTGTACAACTGGATGTGAGCCAGGGTATTATGGACAGTACTACTGTGAAAATATCTGTGGTAAATGCAGCATTGGCACTTGTGAAAGAATTAATGGGAATTGTGAGGCCTGTAATACAGGCTTTTATGGAGGTAAGTGCAATATAACATGTAGCAAAAATTGCTTTAATCAGGAATGTACGAAAATAAGTGGAAATTGTAAAAACGGTTGCATCGGCGGCTTCTACGGTCCCTTCTGCACTATGTCATGCAGTAGAAACTGTGCGCAAAACAACTGCAGTCAGAGTGGCATTTGCACTGGTGGATGTAAACCGAACTGGACTGGAGATCGATGCAATAGTAAGTTTATTCAATTTTCAGATTTTCTTTTCTCACTTTTTCTGTACTACTCAGCTGCAATTCAACTTACAAATTGACATCTGAAGGAAAGAAAAATGCGTTCTCAATGAGCCTTAAGCATCCTCAGATAGTGTGGATTCAAATTTGTTTAAATCATTATCTGCATCGGTAGGGAGGGACCACGATGGGTGATCAAATTTTTACATAAGATACACAGGAAAAAATCATTGAAAATTTTCTCATGAACAGCAAAGCCACAGTTAGTCATATCTATTTGGAAGTATCCTCATGTAGTACATATTCAAATTTATTCAAATTATGACCCCCGGGGCTAACGACGGGCCAAAATAGATCATCAAAGTTTTACATAGAATAACAATGGCAAAATCTTTAACAATCTTCTTTTTAAGAATAGCAAAATCATAATTGGTCATATTAGTCATATTAATGAAGAGGCAACCTCAGAATACAGAATACAGAAGCATCCTTAGGTAGTGAAGATTCAGGCTTGTTGAAATTATGACCCTGGAGGTAGAGTAGGGCCACAATGCGTCAAAGCTATACATAAGAATATATAGTAAAACGCTTTTAAACATTCTTCTCAAGATCAGGAAATCCATGATTAGTTATATAATTATAGAAGAATCCTCAGGTAGTGTATATGCATCTTTTTTTTTTCATATCATGACCCTTGGGGGTCGGGGGGGGGGGGCAGTACCAGCCGTAGCAACTTCTCTGAACTACCTAGATATGACGTCATAATGGCATATGACGTCAAGTCACTGCACATTTTGAGCAGACATGACGGGGAAAGTGTCATAACTTTTAAATTCCTTTCACATCAAATGTAGAATTTTTTACGTTCATGTTTAATTCATATATTCTTGATTTTTGTTTTAAGGCTGTTTTGATGGTGAATATTTGCAGTATAATATCGTTATTCTTTTTTCTTGTCTAACATGTACGTATTCAAACAATTACAAAAAAAATCTGAAATGATCCCCCTTACACGTCCGTAGACAGAGTTAGAATTTATAAATCTTATATATATTAGACTGGCACAAGTGAATAATAAGGATTAATTGAAGATATTTTGTGTGAAGCTACTGGAGAAATATGTCCTCTAACTGAATTTTGCTGGGGGATTGTAAGCAATTTATCCAATTTCGTATTAATTGCTATGAAGAGTGGAAAATGACCCCTTGTATGTGGGTAAGTTAAATTTCTCGTGAACTATTTTCTGAAGAAATAAAATTCAGACTTGCCCCCAGCACTTTCTATATATATACCCGAGAATACGTTTAATTTATGTAACAAGTCGTTCACAATAATTTTGTTTTTCACTTTTGCCGATGCGATTTTTGTGCAACATTTAAGAAAATTTATAAGTGTCCGTCACATGATCAACACAATGTTGTGACATCACAAAATGATTTTTTATAATACCTTATTCAACTCTCTTACAACTTAACTGTGTATGTATACATATATTACAAATTGAAATCAAAACATAACTCAAAATAAAATAGTACAGTGTATATATCTAATGCATATTAAGCCTTCGGACAGCCTTAACATAGCTGCGTAGTCATCTAACTTCAGACGTTCACAGTAGCTCAGTCGGTAGAGCGCTCGCTCCGTGATCGGGAGGTCGTGAGTTCGAATCTCGGCCGCGACTGACCTAAGTCGATAAAAAAAAATGGGTAGCAACTGTTCCTTCGCCATGCGCTCGGCACTTTGAAGTGAAAGTTGCGGGTCCTTCGGATGAGACCTTAAAAACCGAGGCCCGTGTCACGGCAGGCGTTGGCACGATATAGATCCCTCACTGCTCAATGGCCCTGAGTGCCGATGTAAAGGTCAAAATTTGAAGCCCTTCACCGGTATATGGTGACGTCTCTATATGAGTGAAAAATTCTCGAATGGGACGTAAAACAACATACAATCAATCAATCAATCATCTTACTTCAGAAGCATCTTCAGAAAGTGTAGATTCAAGTGTATAAAACACGTCTCCTGGCGTTAGGGTGGGCCACAATAGAAGATCAAACATGTATGAAAAAACTTTTAAAATTTTTAAAGCCATGAATAGTGAAAGAAATCTGGAAGCATCCCTCAATTAGTAAAGAATAAAGTATGTTCAGTTCATCACTCCTCGGTGAAACTTTTCAATAATAAACTGATTTCTGCTTTTTCCCAGCGAAAACGTTGAGGTGAGCGACGTGGCCCTTAGGCCTCTTGTTTTTAAGTAGAAAAGTCTAGTTAGGCCTCTTACAAAAGATGAACTGATTTTCAAAAATGTGTCTCATCAATAACGTACTCTTTAATGCACAGATAAAAAGTAGCAGTCATTAGATCTCTACTATTTTTCAGATGCACTGCAATTCTTCTATAACAAAATATTTCTTTTGCAGATTTAAAATGACAATTTTTGAAATTAATTCACACACATGCTCAAATAATAAAAAAAAATTAATCAACTACACGATTTGTATTTTAAAATGAGCATAAAACAAAACGATTCAAGTTACTGAATTGCATGTAATATTTTCCTTGGCCAGCAAAGTTTTTTTTTTTTTTTTTTTTTTTTACATTATGTTCATAAATAAAATCAACTGGAAGATTTGTGTATGTAAATATAAAGCAATTTATCTGAAAAAAGGAAATATGTTTTGTTCAGAGTATAAATAGGGGAAGGAGCTTGAGGAAATAATGCTCGTATTTCTATCTGAGAACATAACTTAGTGTAAATTAAATTCCTTTTCAACTTTCGCCTTAATTTTCTTTTTGTGTGTGGTGTGTGTGTGTGTTTTTATGTCCTAAGTATTAATTTTCTGTAACTAAATATTACATGAATTTACTGCTTAAGTTCATGGGTTTTGTATTATTGGAAAAGACATAAGACAGTTGATATTTTATAGGATGCGATTCCAATCATTACGGATCTGATTGCTCACGGGAATGCAGTTTTAACTGTAAAAGTCAGATCTGTCACAATGCCAATGGATACTGTACCTATGGATGTAAGAGCGGATTTTATTTAGAAACGTGTGAACAGAAGTGCAGTACGTCATGTCCGTCAACCTGCAACAGATATTCAGGGAAATGTGAAGGTGAATGCCCTGCTGGAAAATATGGAAATACTTGTAATAAAACTTGCAACGAAAATTGTAAAAATGGATGCAGTAGAATCAACGGTTTGTGCGATTCTGGATGCATTGTCGGGAAATTTGGAGACGATTGTCTCAGATCTTGTGGTTCGGGTTGCTTATCCAGTTGTCGTCAAAACAATGGGAGTTGTCAATGTAAAACAGGATGGCAGGGTGAAACGTGTGATGGTAAACAAAATTATTACTCTCGAAACCTACAGTAATTTCAAAATTTACTAAAGAGTAGACAAAAAAGCTGTTACAAACTAAACATCATACTTTAAACCAGTGAAGTTCGTATAATGTCATTATTCTGTCCATATCAAACAAAAAAGTTCGATCATTTCAATTCATCGAAGTTATCTACCAATTCTCTTAATAATATTGACAGTTCATCATAGAAAATTTTAATATTTCTAAATAAAATCTGCACTCTCTATCTTTAAAGGATGCGATTTAAACCATTATGGACATGATTGCTCCAACAAATGTAGTGTGAATTGTAAAAACGACACCTGTAACAATATCAATGGATACTGCATTTATGGGTGTACTAGCGGATTTTATTTAGAAAAGTGTGAACAGAGATGCAGTACAACATGTCTATCTTCTTGCAAGAGACACTCCGGGGAATGTGAGGGAGAATGTCCAGTTGGAAAGTATGGAAATTATTGTAATAAAACATGCAGCCAAACATGTAAAAATGGATGCAATAAAAATAATGGTTCATGTGAGTTTGGATGTATTGTCGGAAAATTTGAAGCTGACTGTCTTCGGGACTGTGGTGGTGGGTGTATTTCCGGTTGTCATCAAAGCAATGGGAATTGTTCATGTGAAACAGGATGGCAGGGTCAATACTGTGATGGTAAATCAAAACAAAATAATTGCAATCTACGTCAAATTTCTTTATGTACATGCTAAAAAGGATTATAGTTTACACCTAATATACTACTTTGTTAATTACACACATGCATATCCTATCATATTTATAATTTTTTAGTGATAGAGATATATTAAATCACAGAAGTTTTTATTTTTTTTTTATTTATTTATTTTTTTTTTTTTGGTTAATAATCTAACAATTAGCTTTAACTTTGTCAGTTCTTTAAAGATGATTCAAAACTTTTTATTTCCAAGTGTGACCTCTTAAAAATATTTTATTTTTACAAAATAGAATGTAGGCCAGATTACTACGGCAAAGAATGTGATCGGCAATGTAGTTCCAATTGTCTAAACGAAACTTGTTTCTCAAACAATGGGTCTTGTATAGGGGGGTGCAAAGGTGACTTTACGGATGAACAATGCACAATAGGTAAGTTAACCAATTTTTTTAGATAAATTCAATAAATACAAGGACAAAAGCGAAAAAAAAAAATTAAATTTACAGTTTCAAGAATTAATTAAATCAAAAGTTGTATGTATCAAAGTAAGTACACAGTATAAAATTTTTAAAGTTATATAGGCAAACTTCATATATCTTTTCGAATATATTTTGCGCAAATACAAATAGGGCATATATATGTAGAAAATAAGGTGACAATTAATTTTTTATGATGACAGTTTCTCACTCTCACGCGAACTTTTCTAACAACCCTCGCATATATAATTTATAATATATGGCACATAACATTTTTAAACAACCAAAATCGCTTAGCAAGCATAATTATTAAACACTATGGATACATGTAAATATCAAAATAAAAATGTTTTTAATAAATAACTGATTGGTTCTGACATGGGCGTCGAATATAATTCCGAAATATCCCGTCCTGATTCATTGCAGAATGTGTTCAGAACGCTGACATTTGTGTTGTTAACTTTTGTTGTATTTACGGAATTTTTCTCTCCAATCAAACTATCAAGTTCCTCTGAATTTAAACGAACAACGCAGACGTTATCTGGACATTTTAATCTTCGCGGAACTTTCAACGCTTACTTAGTAACTGGCTCTGTGAATTTCGAACCCGACTTAATTTATATGCAGAATGATTTCACGCGAGAGAATACATCTGCATTTGGGATGGCAATATATCTGTTTCCGGTTTAATATAATTATATCCAACGTGATTCAGCAGTTTTCAGAGTATGTTGGATAAAAAATAACATTTGAGGCATAACGAGAAAACTAAATAAAAATGTTATATATTATTTTATATACGAAAAACGAACTGGATAAGCATGTTATAGTAAACTATGCTTATTTTTCTTTCTTGGAAATGACTGATATACAGTCAACACATTTCTTTTTTCTTTCTTTCTCAGCTCTCGCTGTAAGTGACTCGACATCTTTACCAATAACAGTTATTGGTGCTGGACTAGGAGCTGGAGTATCTGTGATGTTAATAATAATCATTGTTGTTATTTTTCTCAGGTTTGTATCAAAAACTAAAATAATGATTTCATTTTATATTATAAAAGTGATTTCACTCGGAGCATTTTAAGAGAGAACAATCAAAGGCTGTACAACGATTAATGTAACGTAAGGATTTATTTATTAATTTTTAAATTTTTCATTCAATTATAGATTAAAAAATGTTCTTTTTCTCGTTGACACAGACGGCGAAAGAATTCTTATTCCAAATCAGATGCAGTTCTGTTTCGAAAAAAGGGCACCCAATCTATAGGTTATTTTTTAACAAATAAAAGCAAGAGTCTTTTGATTATTCAAGGGCTTACTAAGATTTAGTCCATTTCAAAATTAACTAATCGTATTATGTTAGTACTGCTCATTTCGTATTTTTATGATTGGAATCGAGTTAATTTCTCATATCAGAAAATAAGATGCACACTGACATAGGAAACGTTGCCCTTCTAATCGAGGACCCAGAAGAAGAGCCCCAGATAGAAAACCCCGAGGAAGCTGTGTATTATAATGACCTGTCTGTGGCTAAGGATATTGCTATTTCAGATCTACTGAATGTAATCACACAGAGAGAAGCCAAGGGAAAAGAAGGATTCCTTAAGGAGTTTAAGGTTATCAATAATTTATCACAAGTACCTCAATTTCAGCTGAGTGATACTGCAAATATTTTGTAATAAGTAAAGATAATCTAATAATATAAAGGAATAGAAATGAGAACTGAAAATCATCGGAAAGAAATATTGATTATTGATTTATTCCATTTGTAACATTCAAATATTGTATTATGTAACACGATACACTGTGATATAATATGACATAAGATGATATGGTATAATATAATATAACATAAGATGATATGATATGATATTTGATATGATATAATATGATATAATATAATATAAAATAATATAATATAATATATATTCCTTCGCCGAAAAATAAATTTAGTCGCTTCCATATGGAGAAAGATTTGACTGTGAAATCGCTAAAACAGAGGAAAATATGCCTAAAAACAGATTCAAAACCACTTTTCCATGTAAGATAGTAATTTTCGTTACATTATTTTAAAGTTAAAGGTATATGCATTTATCAATTAATCATATAATTTCAATGCAATTAGAATTAATTTAAGACTCTAAAATATGATACTGAAACATATTTCTATTTCTCTGTGAAAGTTCAAATAATAGAAAAACTTATTGAGAAATCCACTTTTTTTTTTTTTTTTACAATTCTATTGTTTTTAAGAAGCGTCTCAGAATGAATTCAAACTTCCAATCATCATTATTTTGCTTCTCATCTACTTTATAATCTACACATTTTGTTTATTTATGTTTTTTCGTAGATGATCATTCCCGCGTTATTTTAGAAGCTAGTAAGGGCTTTACCTCCGATTACATAAATGCTAACTACATTGAGGTAATTTACAGAATAGAAATTCAGATTTTGGTTAAGATAATGAATTTAAATACATGATGTCTTAAATATACTTGTATTTAACATTTTCAAATACTTTTAATTCTTAGAATCTAGAAGAAAAACGGGAATTCATTGCATGTCAAGGTTTGTTGATTGTTAATAAATATGCGAAAAATTTTAAAATACTTGATAATAAATGTTTTTAGAGAATCTTATACATTGTACCATATTACGGTTATCAAACTTTACATTTTATTTTCTTTTTTTTCAGGCCCACTCAAAAACACTTTAGTTGACCACTGGAGAATGATTTGGCAGGAACATGTAGATTACATCATCATGTTGACCAACCTTACTGAGGGACCAAAGGTTTGACTAAAGATGTATTTTATGGGTTTTATACTCTCTATATGTGAATTAAAATACTCTGTCTCAGTATTGTATATACATATATTAAAAGTAAACCATTTCACTCCAATATTGTTCAACTAATCACCAATATTTCGCTCAAGTGAGCCAAAAACTCATTTTTTAAATAGATTAAAGTCTTTATGATGTCGGTTCTCCTGTCTGTCTGTCTCTTAACTATTCACGTTTTCAGCTTTCCAGCTGATCAAACTACTTAGCCATTTTTAATCAGAAATCATCATTGGATAGAGCAAATTTAGACTTGTTCAAATCATGGATAGCATTATTTTTAAAGGGATATATATACTAAATAGTCGCAATTTTGGTATGGCCATTTAAACTTCTTTACTAAAGAAACACTAAATAATACAAACAAAAGCTATGCTCATTTAGTGCAGATTCAAGATTCATTTTTCTAATTTTGCCCTGAGGCCTTAAATGGAGATACAAGCGGATAAAAGTTTGATGAAATTTTATAAGGAAAAGATCGAAATGTTTCCCTTAAGAACAGAATGCTATAAATAGTATTTTGTTACGACAACATTCTCATCTAGTGCAGATTAAATTTTGTTCAAATAATGCCCGCGAGGATAACAAAAGAAGGTAAAAATTTGATCGAAATATATACTGAAAAATATTTCAACTCCGAGAATATAATGACGAGAACGAGAAAAAGTCATGAATGATATGCAAGCATCTCAATTAAAGGAATTTGAAGTTTTCAAATTATGCCTGCCAGGCCTAGAATAGATAAAACAAATATTGAAAAAAAATATGTTCCTACTGAAAAAAAAAACAGCATAGCAACAGTCAGTTACGAAAGCCCAGAAGGCTCATTCGAGATTCGAGTTTCGAAATACGAGATTCAAAATTCGAGATTCGAAATTCGAGTTTCAAGACTCAAGATCCAAACTAACCAATCAAAAGGCGGTTTAAGATTCAATTACTCCCCTTTGCTAAGTTTTGACCTTCAAGAAATCATTGAATATATTCATATTACAATGCAAGAAAAAGTGTTATATATATCAGAACGAAATTAGAAAAAAATATTGGGTTTCTGGTCTCGCAGGACTGTTAAGGCGTACTTAGAATAAATCAACGGAATATAAACGTTCATAAATACATACCATTTTAAACTGAATTAATTTTTGTAAAGCTACTATATTATCACATGACTTTAATTTTAATTGAAATAACATTGTATACCCCGCTCGGTAGGGAATTTGGTTTGGTCACGTTATTTGACAGTCACGTGATAAATGCATGTAATGGGTACTGTATGTAGGTCATAAACAAATCTCAATATCGCAAGGGCATACCCTAGTTAGAATTAAAAATTTCAGTAATAAGTTGTGTCTACATAACTTCTAGTTTATGAAAAGTGCTGCTGCTTTATTAGTTTAAATTTCAAGTTATTTGGCTATAGTCGAAATATGTGTGACCTTTGCCATGTATTTTATTTATTCATTTAGTAATGCTCTCGATTTCAGGAAAGCAGCAGCACTTTTCAAGTTAAGGAATGTTTCCATTATGCATATTCAAAAAATGGTCAAGATCTATTAAGTGTATGCCCTTGCGAAAAGGCGATTTAATGAGGCACCTCGGAGTGAAACATGCACACCCTGTACATAAAAACACGGTAGAATTAATTCAATACATTCTCTCGATAGTTTTTAAATAATGGCACAAAACAAAGGTTTCAGTTTTGTAATAATGGTCTACCTAAGATTTGCAAATAATATTCTGTTTAATAATAAAATGCGTTTTTCACTGTGGAAAAACAACTTGATCCGCCTCTCACTGCACATAAAATGCGTCAAATTTTACCATGATGACGTCATGTCGACAAGTGCATTGCGATCAGTGACTTGTTTATATTTTGCTGTGTGGGATTTAATTAGCGACAAAAATGAATGCAGTGGTCAGTTTTGATTTAGTTCATCACTCTTTTGCAGTTTAAAACCGCAAATTATTTCATTTTCTGTTGTTTTGAGGAATTGCTATATTTGTGTGGTGTCACAGTAGACATTTCCCGTATAAATTAGGCCCCGCCCACTTTATGCAGCCTTAACAGAGCTGCGCTGCAAAATATGCTTATTTATATTATAACTTCTTAAATATTATAATAGATTTATATCAAGAATATCTATATCGTATTATCTACTTTGTTTACAGGTTTGATGTCATAATAATAAATACTGTTAATCGGATTCAAAGAGCAAAAGGGGGGGGGGGGGTTGCGTATTGCAGTCGATTGATTGATTGTATGTTGTTTTACGCGTATGTTTTACGTTGTTTTCGAGAATTTTTCACTTATATAGAGACGTCACTATATACCGGTGAAGGGCTTCAAATTTTGACCTTTACTCGGCACTTAGGGCCATTGAGCAGTGAGGGATTTTTATCGTGCCAACGCCTGCTGTGACACGGGGCCTCGGTTTTTAAGGTCTCATCCGAAGAACCCGCAACTTTGACTTCAAAGCGCCGAGCGCATGGCGCAGGAACAGTTGCTACCCATTTTTTATCGACTTAGGTCAGTCGCGGCCGAGATTCAAACTCACGACCTCCCGATCACGGAGCGAGCGCTCTACCGACTGAGCTACCGTGAATGGTAATATTGTAGTCGATGAGAATTATTAGTGTGCAATTAAACAAGTAACTAGCGATAAATAATAAATATTGTTATACCTTTAAAAATTTGTTCCTATATAAATCAATACTAATAAAAGTCTAACATTTCAAATGTTTTACTGAGCGGGCATAAAAAAAATCGATGTTTGACCGCGGAGTGAGATATTGGACCTGTCGATGAGATGTTAGACCGCTTATGTCACACAATGGGCGGGGTTAGCTAAATCTCATTTGCATTCGTTGGTGTTCGACATACATGTACATGTATGTAAAAAAATAAAATAAATAAATAAAAGGTATAACAAAACATTTATTGACTGTGTTCTCGGGCAAAATGCGTTTTGTCGACCCCTCGAACCAATCTGTTTGCCTTCGGCCTAACGGCCTCAGGCAAACAGTTTGGTTTTTGGGTCCGACAAAACGCATGTTGCCCTCGAACCCAGTCAATAAATGTATAGTAATCAGTGGCGGATTTAAGGGGGGCACACCCGGCGCCCACCTAAAATTGTCAAAGTTTACGTAAATCATAGTTTCGTCTAGAAAATGTAAAAATGTCTAATCGGTAGACTTTATTTTTACTCTACAAAATCTCTAGAATCCAGATGCTTCCGGGGGCTTCGCCCCCTGGGCCCCCAGACCCCCTGCCTACTTTTGGCGCCGCCTGTAACTTCAATTCCTGGATCCGCGCCTGGTAATACGGGTTTCAAATTAGATATAGTTTGTGACAAGGTATTAGAAAGTGATCAGTGATTAATACGAGTTTTAAAGTTAAGTGTGCAATAAAACAAGTGACTAACGATTAATAATAATTAGTAATACGGGTTTCAAAGCGGATATAGTTTGTGACAAGTTATTAGAAAGTGACCAGTGACCAATACGGGTTTCAAAGTGGATATAGTTTGTGACAAGGTATTAGAAAGTGACCAGTGACCAATACGGATTTCAAAGTGGATAGTTTGTGACAAGGTATTAGAAAGTGACCAGTGTTCAAGTTTGTGAAACCAAGAGACAGACCCTTAAGTACGGATGGCTGAAATATACATGTTTAATAAAGATAACGATTTTTCTTTGTTTAGGTCCGTAGGAATTAAAAAAAAAAAACACTGTAAAGCCCCCCCCCCCCCTCCCAAAGACGTTATTTTTGAAAGGACACAAGCATAAAGTTGCTATGTTTTCTATAGTATATTATATCGGTAAAAAATATAAGGGGAATGTGGGGGGGGGGGGGGGGCACGTTCCCATGGTCCTATGGCTATGTTGTTTATTTTATTACAACGCTAGACAAATGTTCAGTTATCAACATTCAGTGTTAATCTTGCGATGCATGGGCAATATAATTATATATTCGATAATTATTGATAAGGAAACCGCTTGGGTCTCGCTAGATACATAACCAATCAATAAACCAGCTTCAATACATGATGTTATGGCCATAGGGAAAAAAAGATATAAAAATATGAAATAATGATAAAAAATTAATTATTTTAACAAAACAATGGACCCTCTATACACCTTTAGGACTTTGAAAAAATCGTATAGCCTAAAGGAGTTCGTATTAAAATTACTCAGTTCATGTATGCCTTTTTTAGTGTACACAGGAAATCTTAAAATACATCGTAGTAGTGATAAAGAAAAATCGCGTTCGCTTTCCGAATGGGGTATGTTCCATATAGGCAAAAAGGCTGTAGCCTACTTATCATTTTCTTGATGTAAAAAAAAAATATTTATTTAATAGTCATGTATTTGGTTAAAAAATGGGTGAAAATTGATCATAAATCTTATTTATTTACCAGTTACTAAAATATTTTTTCATCAAATGCAATAAAAGTATTTTTAGCAATCCACACTTTTATGCCTATCCAATTTTTACAGTATACAAAACTGATTTTTATAGCTGGTTAAATCTAAAATTGAAATGTTACATTGAAGTCGATATTAGACTATTAAAAAATGACAGCAACAGGAGTCTACGATTAGGACAGGGAATAGAAATTAGGAAATATGTTTGGGTTAGTAGGAAGTCAAACATAAAACATTTTTAAAAATTTATTTAGATTATTCAGTAAAGACGTTTCTATAATTTGCAAGCACTGTGTACGGATTTTAAAATTTCTCAATTTTATTAAAAGTGGTCATGAAGATTTTAATTTCTGTATCATAAAAATATGTTTAAATGATTTATAATTATATTCACTGGAAAAATGACAATGATAGATGTCTCCAAGATCGCAGAAAGTAATCCTCCGACCCCCCCCCCCCCCTCTATTGAGAGGGGGCGACTCCCTCCTTGCCTATCCGCAATTCGGCAATGATGCGCTTTAGGTGAAACCTGTGACTTCACAATCAGCCTACATATTAGCAGAAGGGAATATACACCGCTGTTTCCCAATAGAAGAAATACATAAAAAATAAGTTTTCAATTACTTATCTTGGTCTAAGGCTTTGAATACTTGAATCAATTAAAAATTACATATACACTACAGTCTGGAATTTATTTTGTTCCATATCAAATAGTAGATCAGTCTAACTGCACAAATGCAAAATGTGCAGTGAAAAGACGATCTTTAGTATTTCATATCAATAATAATTTTCTCCCTCAATGTGCAAATTAAATAATTTATCGACCTACTAATTTCGCATTTTAACGATAAGACCATATAATATGCTATATATGTATCTTTTCTTTTGTTTAATGAGGAAAATAAGATTTTATATATATATTTCAAAACGTTACCCACAATTCACTTTTATTTTGTTTTGATACATATATCATTTTTTCTTGCATTATTATTTAAGCAAATGACCCATTGGTTATAAATATATTCAGTGATTTCTTGATAGTAAAAACTTAATAAAAGGGACTAATCAAATATTGAATCCGTCTTTTGATTGGTTACTTTGGATCTTGAATCTCGAAACTCGAATTTCGAATCTCGCATTTTGAAGCTCGTATCTCGAATGAGCCTTCTGGGCTTTCGTAGTCAGTTGCAATAGGGATTAAAAAATTTTAAGGAAATATATTGGAGAATCTTTACAACTCTTCGTTATGATTGGTATGGGCAACATAATGAAAGTGAGCATCTTGGTTAGCCTTGTTTTTTTGTATTTAAATCATATTTGAAATGAAATTTATTACATGCAATTTAATTGACTATTACTGTGGAATCATCATTGTTCGTGGGGGTCAATGTTCGTGGGTAACCAAAATTTGACTGGTTTGTGGGGACGTAATTTCGTGGGTAACTTGCATATTTTATTAAGATAAATAAATCAACCGTGTTAAATGTATGTGTGTTTCAATGTTCGTGGGGACGTTAATTCGTGGGTAAGGGCTACCCACGAAATCAACGAACATTGATCCCCCACGAACAATGATGATTCCACAGTATGCAATAAACATTAACTGTCAATGTCAAACTTAAATATCGATATCTATATATTTATCAAATTTTGATAATATTGTCTTACAAAAAATAGGTGAAATGTCATCAATATTGGCCAGACGAAGGAAAGGAAGTGAACATTAATCCATTTTCTGTAACCTTGTTGGAAGAGAAAAAATATTCTCATTTCGTCGAACGAAGAATGACAGTGCACAGAAAAAAGGTATAGAGAAAAATAGTGTTGTAATTTTTAAAAGGTAAAATATTCCGTATGAATATAATACTTGTTAAAAAACAAAGCAGAAATTTAAAAAAAAGTTTACATTGTATCATAAAGCAGAAATTGGGTTGACATTTATCTAAAATTAGGTTACTGGGTCGAGGACGGTCGTGCAGTATCACTTCACCCGATGGCCAGACCACGGAACACCAAATCCCTTAAACTTGATTGTATTCCATCGACATTTTCGACACAAGATCATGCCTTCCCATCACCCAATACTTGTCCACTGCAGGTAATCACAGAGTTAACGAATTATTTATTAAGGCAGCTATGGGTAATACCTTGGCAATAATTTCACTTCCCAAATGTTATCCAGATTCACAAAGATGGAGACCTTATTACGAGACAAATTGGCAATAATTTCACTTCCCAAATGTTATCCAGATTCACAAAGATGAAGACCTTATTACAAGATCATTTATTGAGGATATTTAGGCAAAGAATTTCTTACAAGAATTTTTTTGTAGATTGCATACATATCCATGTTTATGCTAATAAAATTAGCTGAAATGTGTTTTGTTTTGGTTTGTTATTTTCAAATTATCAAATTAAAATAAAAGAACAATAACATTCCTCAGGACAAGATAGCACAATCATTTAAAAAAGGGAAACTACTTATACTGCTTTTCCAGTTACTTTCTAATTGCAAGAAAACACATCAGTTGCATGGTTTCAATTTATTCTAGCGCTGGAATAGGGAGGACGGGTACGTTTATAGCCTTTGACGTTTTGTCGAGGTATGGCAAGGACAAGGGCAAGGTCAATGTCATAGAGTATGTCAAGGCCATGCGTAAAGACAGGATGACAATGATTCAAAATGTGGTAAGTTGCATACATTGCAATTTATGAACGTTTTCTGTTGACAAAACTCGACTTAATTTTTAATAATTGAGAGAAATGGTGATTGCCAGAAAGAATCTCATTCATTTCAAAGACATCATAAAATGCACAACTTTTGTTAACTAAAAAGCCAATATACATTTTACAAATAAAATTGTTTTTAGAACCAATATGTGTTTCTGTACCATGTACTGTACGAGTTCTTCAGAAGAAAAACACATTATAAAAAGAGAGACGAATTTCTCAGTCAATATGGAGATATGAACAAAGCTGGTAACCAGAAACAGATAACTAACGAATTCAATGTAAGCATCTACATAGTATATAAATGATATTTACATATTTTCTATGATAATTCGATAAAGAAAACTTGAAAAAGTATTTTGTCAACTGTAAAAGGTGAAAAAATGCATATATAAAAAACTTTGATAAAATGATAAATTGTGCAAGATTGAAATAACTCGAATTAATCTATCAAACTTAACATTTCTACAGGAACTGATAAGTTTAAAACCAAGATATGTTGCCCAAGATTTCAAGAGTGGAAAGGCGTTTTCAGAACTGAACTTTTCCAAATCAGTTTTACCAGGTATCTAAGACCTGAAACTTTTTTGACTTCCAAATATTTAAACATGTAAACTTATTTTTTTTTTAGTTCACCTGAGCCAAAGGCCACAATGAGCGATCAGAATTTCACATAGGAAAACATAGGGGGGGGGGGAAATCTTTAAAATTCTTCTGTTTAAGAACAGCAAAGCCATGATTGGCAATATTGATCTGGAAACATCCTGAGGTAGTGTAAATTAAAGTTCCAGCCCCGTTCAATACTGACCTTATTTGTGCTTCTTTCTGGCCAATGTACTCAGGCGAGCAATGTGGCACATGGGCCTCTGTTATGATTTGGGGGGGGGGGGGGGGGATTGATATTAAGAATATTGTTTTTGTGCAACAATACACTGCAAAGCATCAGAAAGACAATGCGTTACATTGCATTTTGCTATTAATTAAAGTAGACTAATTTTGTCTAATATTTTTTTTATAATCTTTTTAAATCTAATTTCAGTTGAGCAATATCTAGTTTATTTGACATCCCACGTTCCAGGCCGACAATGTTATTACAATGCAGTGAATGTTTCTGTATGTATAAAAGCTGTTCAAGTTTAAATATTTGTCATCAAAATGCTAAATTTCTATGTGTGACACATATATCATTTGATAAGTTAAACGTTTTGTGCACAATTGTAGTTCCTGTAGATTACCATTTTCTTTTGATTCTTTAAATATAGTCGTTCACCCGATCTGATGAATTTTTGTCTGCTCAATTTCCTGTGCCTGGAGCTGCCGTAGATCTTGTTCGTCTGCTAATTGATCAGGAATCAGCATTTTTGATTTCACTGAACCCTTTTTCAGAGGTTGAAGAGGTAATGACAAACACAATCATCAGACCATTATTGCATTCTCATAGAAATAAACTATCTTTTGCATATTTATTAGATTTAATTATGCAACATTGTCTCTTTATTACTATACATTTATAAACAATCTAAATATTTTGATTTTTCAAACCTTCTACATGTATTTGTTTAAGCTACAAAGCTGGGTTGAGGAAAAAGTAAATCCCCTCAAACTTAGTCCTTATATAATCACTAAGGGTACACAAGAAGTATTGTCCGGGGAGATAAGAAAGACAAATATAACAATCACAACAAAGAAGGTCAGTTTCCTTTTTTGTAGACGAAAACACCATATTTTTCATTATGATTAATATTTTTAGATATTTTCATTCAACATTTCCTAAATGTTGTATTAAGAAAAATAATCTACAAAAGAAACTTCACAATTTGGGTTTCACATTCTTTGCATGAATTAAAATTGTTTATTTTTTTTTCAATTAAATGTATAATTTTTCTTTAACAAACTACTTTTTTCTTTTAAAACTTTCGTTTATATTTCTACTGCAAATAAGGAAACCCGTGAAGTAAAGATATTTGAATGCCTGAACTGGAGTTCCAGTGATGCACTTCCGATGGAAACCTCTGTTTTAACAACGCTCATTAAACAGTTCAGCCTTTATCGCAAATCTCATTTAAAGGGATGTGTAACTGTCATATCGAAGTGTGTACTTAATTTCTTTTTCAAGCTACATCTTTTACATTTGTTTGAATAGTTGTGTCATACTTTGAGAAAAGGGGAGAAATGTGTATTCTGAGCAATAAAATTTAATTTGGGAATTTATTCAGTGATATCGTTACTGTTAAATAATCTTTTCTAAGCACAAAGTATTCATGATAACACTTCCTATGGCGAAAAAAAAATATTGTATTGATATTAGACCTGTGACTGAAATATATCACCATTGACATGCTTTTGTCACTTAAGTCAGAAAATACCAAATTAATATGGGAATGGTGTTGTTCATCATCCATAAAACTTCTTTGACTTGTCCTATTCTACCAACCAACTCATTCAAATATTAAGATTAGTCTGCCTGACTAGATTATAGTGCTTTGACACTTTGAACGCACAACAGTGAAATAAAATTTAAACAAAATGATTCGATGCGTAGAATTCTTTTCTACATTGATAAAAACCCACATTAGTTGAAAGAAATGTACAAACAGTTTCTAATAAACTTTAATCTAATATTTCAAAGAAATCATTGCCAAACGTGCCTCTATATTTTCTGTAAAAGGGATGGTGCGACATGTTGTGGAGTATTTTGCGCTGTGTATAACGCCATAGAACAGCTACAACAGGACGAGGAGGTGGACATATTTACTATAGTTCAGCAATTACAATGTCGAAGACCCGAAATGATATCAACAAAGGTACATATTAAGGCATTTTATTCTAGTGTTTCCATAAATATACCTTTACTCTTACTGTCATGCAAATAGTTAATATGACTCTATTTTTATAACTGATATAAAGAAAGGGAGTTATTTAAGATTTTTTTTTTCTTTTGCATAAATAAACATTTGTTTGTCACTGAGAAATCATATATTGCAAAACTTATTAGTATAAGATTCGAAAAAAAAAAAGGTTTTACATTCAAATAAAAACATCGAGGACAGACATTTAATCTCAGTTTTTGTATTTCAGGAAGAATATGAATTTTGTTTCAAAGCAGTTTCTGACTTTCTGAATACAGAGAGTGTATATGCCAACACATAAATTGTATTCATCCTTGAAGATATCTTAAACAGCTACTCAGACGATTTTTCGCAACCAGTATAAATAGTATTGTCAAAATTATGTGTAAACATATATTAAACCTTGAAAATTACAGGATAATATATTTATATTTTAGTTAAGAGATACATGCATGTATGTTTATGTATTGTTTTTAAAGCATATGATTTTTTTTTAATATTTGTCATATGTTTAATCAAAGCTTTCTTGCAAAGATAATTCTAGCCACGTGATAAATAAAAATGTATTTATTAACAATTTTAATCTCACCTGAGCCACATGCTCGGGTGAGCTTTTCTGGAAAAAAAAATTTTTTGGCGTCTCTGTCGTATGTCATCTGCCGCGAGTTCACTTGGTTAAAGGATTTCATGTTTGTTTTAATGAAAGTCCACAACGTTATTCAATGGTAGATAATTAATAAAATTCAGTGGGATTTTAAATTTCTTCTCAAGAACTTCCGGGACAGTAGGGATGAAACTGATGTTATATTTTCTTACATAATGATAACTCAAGAGTTTACAAATCATTGTCCCTGGAGGTAGGGTAGGGCAACAACATAGAGAATTTTAACATTGGAATAAAAATGAAAATTTTCAACAATAGTTTTCTCTTAAAAACAGCAGAACCATGATTAGTCATAAACATATGCAAGTATTCACAGAAATTGTTTTTTTTTTTTTTTTTTTTTTCAAATCATAGTTCCCGGGTCACAATATGGAATCAATATAATTTTACATGGGAATGTATATAGATAAAGAAAAAAAATTATAAATAATATTATATTTTTTATAGAAAATTCGGACCAAGCATAGTCTACATTGAAGCTTCCTCGGGTAATATTGATTCATATTTGTTTAAAGGATAATGCCCTAGTAAGTGATCAAACATATAGAAAAAAAATCAGTCTCTGCTGTTACTTGGACATTTTACTCCTTAAGAAACATTTTTTTTCATAATTTGTTTAAAAATTTTAGAATACAAGTATCAAATATTTAGTGCGAAGCAATCACATTTGGCATAACTACTTTTGTCACATTAATTTATTTTTCAAGTGACAGTCATCACATATATAAGAATAATTAATTCGCCATTTTTCCCTATAAAATTTCATATCCTTGATTTCAGAGTGCACTTTGTTTTGTATTATTTCTTTTTGTCTTTATTAAAGTATTTCTTTTTTATCTGAGTTTGTCGTTTTTCAATTGACGACTATGCTATGCAAATACAGTTAAACCTCAGTCGTTATCTTCAACTGACCAAGATATCGAGGGTAAAATACTTAAGAAATACGTGGTAAGGACTTCCCTGTCACTTCGACATATCCATGGAATTCGAGATATCCGTGTTCGAGATACCGAAGCTCAACTGTATTTGTATTTAAAGGAGAAGGGTTTGCTCTGCTCCCGCAATTGGTATTGTTTTAATGGACAATTGGGCTAGATTACTGTTCGCTATCTCCATATTATATAAAAACCTGCATAGTGACAGCATTGAACGTCTTTTCGTTTTATTTTTAAATTATATTATAAATTTATTCATTTTGCTAGTTTGCAGTTGACTGAGAACAAGCTTCATATTTTTACCTTTTATGATGATGACGGTTTATTAGTTTTCACTTTCATCAGGATAATCAAATGCAACAAAATCCAAAATATTTTGTCAGAGAAATATGCATTCTGTTCTCAAAATAAGGGAAACTAGATATCATTGAGATGGTGGCCATCTCAAAGGGCCCCGTTTCAGCAACGAACATGAAAATGTAAGGTAGCTGAAAAGGGTTTATTTTGAAGAGGAAAATTTGTTTACTATTATGGGATGTGTTGTTTGAGTCTAAGGGGCTTCTATGTCATCCTTGTTATAATAAAAAATGGCACGAAAATCACAAGTGCTCCATACCCTTTATCAAAAAAACGGCTCAAAAATCACAAATGTTGCATATCCTTTATGAAAATTGTTGCATATTCGCTATCATATGGAAGGAAAATCACAAATGTTCTGTACCCTAAGTCAATTGGTAAAGTTTGAGGCTGACTGGACTTAAGAGAAAGAAATTATGCACCGAACAAAGATTTTAAAAAGAGAGGCTATTTTTTACCTTGACCCTTGACCTACAATTTTCGTTCAAGGTCACTGCACATCCATTGACCAGTGGCACTCTGTGAGTGAAGTATGAGCAACATTGGACCAAGGGGAGAGAAGATATGCTCCAGACAAGGATTTTTCATATAATTATGCTATGACCTTAACCTTAGACCTAGAAACATGTTTCAAGGTCACTGCACACCCTTTACCCAAAGACACTCTGGGGGTGAAGTGCGAGCCAGATTGGGTCAAGGAGAGAGAAAATATGCTCCGGACAAGAATTTAAACAGAGAGGCTATTTTTGACCTTGACCCTTGACCTAGAAACTTTGTTCAAGATCACTGCACATCCACTGACCAGTGGCATTCTGTGAGTGAAGTATGAGCCACATTGGACCAAGAGGGGAGAATTTATGCTCCGGACAAGGTTTTTTTCATATAATTCAGCTATGACCTTGACCTTAGACCTAGAAACATGGTTCAAAGTCACTGCACACCCTTCACCCAAAGACACTCTGTGGGTGAAGTGCGAGCCAGATTGGGTCAAGGAGAGAGAAAATATGCTCCGGACAAGAATTTAAACAGAGAGGCTATTTTTGACCTTGACCCTTGACCTAGAAACTTTGTTTAAGATCACTGCATATCCATTGACAAATGGCACTCTGTGAGTGAAGTATGAGCCACATTGGACCAAGAGGAGAGATGATATGCCCCGGACAAGGTTTTTTCATATAATTCTACTATGACCTTGACCTTAGACATAGAAACATGGTTTAAGGTCACTGCACACCCTTTACCCAAAGACACTCTGTGGTTGAAGTATGAGCCAGATTGGGCCAAGGAGAGAGAAGATATGCTCCGGACAAGAGATCTCGGACGGACAGACGGACGGACGGACGGACAGACTGATCACTATAGGGCGCCCGCAGAACGGGGCCCTAATCAATAAAAAAAAAAAAAATGACATTTTAATCGTTCAAAAATGTTTAAGAATTGTCAAGTCAAGATCGCTGATACATGTAAGCATTATTTGATAAACATCTTCTTTTGACTTTTTTAAAGATCAGAAATCTATAATACAGTTTGGTATAACCAGAGTGGGATCAAATCCTTGAAAGGACAAAGGATGATCATTAAATGTCATGAAAATTCCTATATTAGTTTTTATTATTTTATCGATTTAAAGCTTAACTTTTAGCAACGTTTCTAGAGAATTGAACAAGGAGGTCTGAGTTATATGAAAATATTCCAAATTTAGAAATGACATAATATGGATGAACCCAGGAGAGACTAATTGAGATCATATTCACTGGTAATATAATTACCGTATAACAAGATATTTTATCGAGGATTCAATTTTGGCATTTTTAGGGTATTGACATTGCTAAAATTGAATATCCCTAACAATTCATACTGCTTTGGAGGTTACCGTTGTCTTTCTAGGCGTCATTAAGGTATGTCACTCGTGAAATTTCTTATATCAAGGATTTTTTGAGAAGTATATTTTGGATAAGTACTCATATAGTATGACTCAAAATCGCAGAGAAAATGGGGTGTCAGTGTGCATCTAACTGAGCTACGGTACAATTAAGTTGACCTTTTTGCACTTAAATTGTAACTCTTTGGTTAATCACTTTAACCGTTATCATATTTTATCAGATGTAACCATGGCAATAAACATAATCTTAATTTACGTAAAATAGTTTGAATAATATTAATCATTGAACAAATCATGCAAATTAATGCGCATGAATTATTGTGTGACCTTTTTGCACTAAAAAAGTCTCATATTTGGGGTATTAAAAATCTAAATAGGCAGTAGAATATTTTCTTGTATCAAACTTTTTACGACTTAAGTGCTGGTCGGTCAAAAGTATCGAGTAGTTTAAAATAATGAAAGAAAAAGTTGGGGTCAGTGATGTAAATTTTGAAATATTGGTCAAAATATGCGATTTTCTGGCAAAAAACTGTTTAAATTTTTTCTTGACTTCTTTAATATATCTTCATTTCTTGGCAAAATTTGTTGAGCAAAGGTGTAAATTTTGTTATAAAAATATAAATTGAGACCTATATTTAATATTCCAGGCATATCATAACGAAATATATTCTCTGAGTAAAAGTATGTTAGGCTAAAGTTCCAAGATATTAAATATAATAAATGTGTAGATTTGCAGAAATTTCTGTTAAATATCCTTCCACCACAAGAAATAGTCCCTTATAAATCTTGTTTTTTAATGAATTTTTGAGCAGTTTTTTAATTGAATGTTGAACATTTTACATTGCTTAATTTAAATATGTTATAAAGATTGAATTGTAATAAATAGTTTTTAAGTTAGAGGTTCTGACTGAACTTTTCTAAAAGGCTGACGAGTGACATACCTTAAATCGCTAAAAAATATTTCCCTCTAAAATAAAATGCTTATTTTTAAGGACAAATCGCTAAATTTACGTCTCGCTAAAAATTCCACTTATAAGTACCTGTAGATTTGATATGTGTATATAGTTATATGTAGATATGATACGTGGATAGTTATATGTATATATGATACGTGTATATAGTTATATGTATATATGATACGTGTATATAGTTATATGTAGATATGATACGTGTATATAGTTATATGTAGATATGATATGTGCATATAGTTATATGTATATATGATACGTGTATATAGTTATATGTAGATATGATATCTGTATATAGTTACATGTAGATATGATATGTGTATATCGTTATATGTAGATATGATACGTGTATATAGTTATATGTAGATATGATATGTGTATATAGTTATATGTAGATATGATATGTGTATATAGCTATATGTAGATATGAATAAAAGTGGAAAACATCAAGTTAATAAAGCGGGAAGATGTATCGTGTCTTTAAACATTTGAAGT